TCGTCTCAACGCCTAACACTAAAACCACGTTGGGGGGTCAGAGAGATTGCTGACTCTAACCAGTGCGACACTCTGACAGAGTAAAGGTCTGCACCACATCGCGAAGTGGGCCTCACCTCCCCCAGTGATGGGAGGTGAGCTGGGGAGGAGGGCAGGTGTCTTAGTGAAGCTTACAGCCTCCCCAGGGTATGAACTGGGTACAGCGGGTCCCAAAATTGGCTCCAAATTCAGAGATAGGAATACAGATGCATCTGTAATGCGTTGCCTGAAAGGCTGGTGGAAGCCCATTCGATAACAGCTTTTATGAGACAAGTAGATACCTATTTGGGAGGACAAGTTTGCAGGTTATGGGTGAGGGGGAAGTGGGGTCGAATTGGAAGCTCTTTTCAAAGACCGGCACAGACACGATGAGCCGAATGGCCTCCATCTGCGCTGTATAATTCTGTGATTCTACATCGGTCTCGTGCCCCACCCACCAGTGGGGCATTGGTGGGAGGTTTGAGATGAGGGAAAGGGAAGCCTTTTAGTGAAGTTACAGCCTCCCCCGGGGTATTGGTCAGGAACACGAGATCACTAAATTGGTCCCAGATTCAGAGACAGAGGCACAGAGGGAACAGTGTGGAGAGTGGGCGACATGGAGCCGTGGCTACTCCGGCCCTGAACCTCGATTTCTCTCTGTCTCTCAATCGTCTGTGTTGATGGGTTTTATTTCTGCAGAGACTGAGGGCAGGTGTTGGCGGGGGAGGGGCTGGTGTGTGTGTGTGTGTATAGAATCGAGTGGTTGTGTATCCTGTGTGAGGTTTATGTACGAGAGATCTGTCTCTCTCTCACGCTGTGCCCTTCTCTCGCAGTGCAGTAATACACCCCCTCCTCGGTTGGGTTCAAGCTGGAGATCTCCAGGAAGGACTCCTTCCTGTTACTGGTCTGGTTAACTTTGTAGTCAGATTCAAAACCCTTCTCATGGGTTACGGTTGTGTAGAGACATAAGTGATCAATGTGAGGCCTCCCTGATGGGGTTGGAGGTACCAGAGCATTGTTTGATGGGCTGTGTTATTCTGGTAACATCTCAAAGTCACTGTCTCCCCCTCTCTGGCTGTGACTGTCCGCGGCCTCTGAGTCACCAAAGTTCCCAGTGACAGACCTGCAAAAGCAATATAACAGTGAGATCCGCCGACAGGGAATCTGGGCTGAATGTCCTGGGGGGTGTTCAATGGATTACACACACACACAAAGTGCGATCATCGCAGACAGAGAGAGGATGTGATATGAAATCCCTGTGGATTTGAGAGTTTACGGGGATGAGAGAGATCTTGAGAGATACTCACAGGGCCAGAGGATGGAGATCAGAGAGACAGTGAGAAAGGACAGACTCATTGTTGGCAGAGACTTGGATTAACATTGGGAACCTCACACCTCAGTTCTCTCTTCCTCCCTCTTTATCCTCACACGCGGTCACACACTGTATCTCACACTCTTTTTGTCTCTCACATCGACTCTCTCTCTCTGGCTTTTTTTTGTGGACTGAAGCTCTGACGGATTGAAGGCACCAATGACACCAAAGTATTCGAAAGATATCACAAGCCCCAACCCCCCCCCCCCCCCCCCCCCCACCACCCACCTGTGGGACAGGAGAGTGAATCAGTGACGCTACAGCCTCCCCTCGGGGATAGACTTGTAACTACAGGGTGCAAAATTGTTCCCAGTTTTAGATTTGGAAATATAGAGAAGATACAGTGGAGGAAGTTGGCTCAAAGGAGGCAGGGAGATGGTTATTATTGTGTGTTGCGTGTGTTCGACATGAGGCAGTTAATACTGTGTGTGTGTTGGGGGTTGGGATGAGACAGAGAAGTGTCAGGGAAAGTTGAGCACTGGTGTTGGTGACTATGGAAGAGAAGTGTGAAGGATAATTATCCATGTGGCAGTGAGGGGGTTAATTCAAGGTGACGTTGTAGATGCAGTCGGGGACCGTCTTATCTTTTTGTGTCGGTGTCTCAGAAGGTGTGAGAGACAGACCCACCCCATGTTTGCCGGCCATGAAGACTCATGAAGACGCTGAGTAAACCCCAGTCCTTGTTGGCTTTGAGTTGGAGAGTCAGTGAGTTTGGGAGTCAGTGTGTGTGAGTGTGAAAGTGTCAGTGAAGCAGTGAGTGTGTGAGTGAGTCGGTGGGTGTGTGTGTTCCCCGCACTGACGGCTTTAATCGGGGACAGAGACAGAGACACAGAGTGAACAGTGTGGAGAGTGGGCGACATGGAGCCGTGGCTACTCCGGCCCTGAACCTCGATTTCTCTCTGTCTCTCAATCGTCTGTGTTGATGGGTTTTATTTCTGCAGAGACTGAGGGCAGGTGTTGGCACGGGAGGGGCTGGTGTGTGTGTGTGTACAGAATCGAGTCGTTGTGTATCCTGTGTGAGGTTTATGTACGAGAGATCTGTCTCTCTCTCACACTGTGCCCTTCTCTCACAGCGCAGTAATACACCCCCTCCTGGGTTGGGTTCATGTTGGTGATCTCCAGGGTGGAGTTCATTCTGTCCGGTGTCTTGGTCATGTTGTAGCCGGATTTAAACTTGTCCTCATATACTGTTGAGGCTTGGTTATACCCGATCAATGTGAGGCCTCCCTGATGGGGTTGGAGGTACCAGAGCATTATAAAATAGTCTTTGTTATTCTGGTGACAATTCAAACTCACTGTCTCCCCCTCTCTGGCTGTGACTGTCCGCGGTCCCTGAGTCACCAAACCTCCCAGTGACAGACCTGCAAAGACAATATAACAGTGAGATCCGCCGACAGGGAATCTGGGCTGAATGTCCTGGGGGTGTTCAATGGATTACGCACACACACAAAGCGCAATCATCGCGGACAGAGAGAGGGTGTGATATGAAATCCCTGTGGATTTGAGAGTTTACGGGGATGAGAGAGATGTTGAGAGATACTCACAGGGCCAGAGGATGGAGATCAGAGAGACAGTGAGAAAGGACAGACTCATTGTTGGCAGAGACTTGGATTAACATTGGGAACCTCACACCAGAGCTCAGGTTCCTCTCTCTATCTGTGTCTCTCTGTCTCTCCCTCTCTCTATGTCTCTGGAATGAAGCTCTGACAGAGTAAAGTCTGAACCACATCGGAAGTGGGCCTCACCTCCCCCCAGTGATGGGAGGTGGAGCTGGGGAGGAGGGGAGGTGTCTTAGTGAAGCTACAGCCTCCCCCGGGGTATGAACTGGGTACAGCGGGTCCCAAAATTGGTTCCAAATTCAGAGATAGAGACACAGATGCATCGGGAATGCGTTGCCTGAAAGGCTGGTGGAAGCCCATTCGATAGCAGCTTTTATGAGAGAAGCAGAGGATTTGGGGAGGACAAGTTTGCAGGTTATGGGGTGAGAGTGGTGGATTGGGGTTGAATTGGAAGCTCTTTTCAAAGACCGGCACAGACACGATGACCCGAATGGCCTCCATGTGCGCTGTATAATTCTACGATTCTACATCGGAAGTGGGTCTCGTGTCCCACCCACCAGTGGGGCATTGGTGGGAGGTTTGAGATGTGGGGAAAGGGAAGCCTTTTAGTGAAGTTACAGCCTCCCCCGGGGTATTGGTCAGGAACACGAGATCACAAAATTGGTCCCAGATTCAGAGACACAGAGGGAACAGTGTGGAGAGTGGGCGACATGGAGCCGTGGCTACTCCGGCCCTGAACCTCGATTTCTCTCTGTCTCTCAATCGTCTGTGTTGATGGGTTTTATTTCTGCAGAGACTGAGGGCAGGTGTTGGCGGGGGAGGGGCTGGTGTGTGTGTGTATAGAATCGAGTCGTTGTGTATCCTGTGTGAGGTTTATGTACGAGAGATCTGTCTCTCTCTCACGCTGTGCCCTTCTCTCGCAGCGCAGTAATACACCCCCTCCTGGGTTGGGTTCATGTTGGAGATCTCCAGGGTGGAGTTCATTCTGTCCGGTGTCTTGGTAATGTTGTAGCCGGATTTAAACTTGTCCTCATATATGGTTGAGGCTTGGTTATACCCGATCAATGTGAGGCCTCCCTGATGGGGTTGGATGTACCAGAGCATCACAGTAAAGGAGCTGTCGTCCTGGTGACAATTCAAAGTCACTGTCTCCCCCTCTCTGGCTGTGACTATCCGCGGCCTCTGAGTCACCAAAGCTCCCAGTGACAGACCTGCAAAGACAATATAATGAGATCCGCCGACAGGGAATCTGGGCTGAATGTCCTGGGGGGTGTTCAATGGATTACGCACACACACAAAGCGCGATCATCGCGGACAGAGAGAGGGTGTGATATGAAATCCCTGTGGATTTGAGAGTTTACGGGGATGAGAGAGATGTTGAGAGATACTCACAGGGCCAGAGAATGGAGATCAGAGAGACAGTGAGAAAGGATAGACTCATTGTTGGCAGAGACTTGGATTAACATTGGGAACCTCACACCAGAGCTCAGGTTCCTCTCTCTGTCACTGTCTCTCTGTCTCTCCCTCTCTCTATGTCTCTGGAATGAAGCTCTGACAGAGTAAAGTCTGCACCACATCGGAAGTGGGCCTCACCTCCCCCCAGTGATGGGAGGTGGAGCTGGGGAGGAGGGGAGGTGTCTTAGTGTAGCTACAGCCTCCCCCCGGGGTATGAACTGGGTACAGCGGGTCCCAAAATTGGTGCCAAATTCAGAGATAGGGATACAGATGCATCTGGAATTCGTTGCCTGAAAGGCTGGTGGAAGCCCATTCGATAACAGCTTTTGTGAGACAAGTAGATACCTATTTGGGGAGGACAAGTTTGCAGGTTATGGGGTGAGAGTGGGGGAGTGGGGTTGAATTGGAAGCTCTTTTCAAAGACCGGCACAGACACGATGAGCCGAATGGCCTCCATCTGCGCTGTATAATTCTGTGATTCTACATCGGTCTCGTGCCCCACCCACCAGTGGGGCATTGGTAGGAGGTTTGAGATGTGGGGAAAGGGAAATCTTTTAGTGAAGTTACAGCCTCCCCCGGGGTATTGGTCAGGAACACGAGATCACAAAATTGGTCCCAGGTTCAGAGACACAGAGGGAGAGTGTGGAGAGTGGGCGACATGGAGCCGTGGCTACTCCGGCCCTGAACCTCGATTTCTCTCTGTCTCTCAATCGTCTGTGTTGATGGGTTTTATTTCTGCAGAGACTGAGGGCAGGTGTTGGTGGGGGAGGGGCTGGTGTGTGTGTGTATAGAATCGAGTGGTTGTGTATCCTGTGTGAGGTTTATGTACGAGAGATCTGTCTCTCTCTCACGCTGTGTCCTTCTCGCAGCGCAGTAATACACCCCCTCCTGGGTTGGGTTCATGTTGGTGATCTCCAGGGTGGAGTTCATGTTGTCAGGTGTCTTGGTAATGTTGTAACCAGATTTAAACTTGTCCTCATATACGGTTGAGTATCGGTTATATCCAATCAATGTGAGGCCTCCCTGATGGGGTTGGATGTACCAGAGCATCGTATCAAGGGATTTGTCGTTATGGCTACATCTCAAAGTCACTGTCTCCCCCTCTCTGGCTGTGACTGTCCGCGGCCTCTGAGTCACCAAAGCTCCCAGTGACAGACCTGCAAAGACAATATAACAATGAGATCCGCCGACAGGGAATCTGGGCTGAATGTCCTGGGGGGTGTTCAATGGATTACGCACACACACAAAGCGCGATCATCGCGGACAGAGAGAGGATGTGATGTGAAATCCCTGTGGATTTGAGAGTTTACGGGGATGAGAGAGATGTTGAGAGATACTCACAGGGCCAGAGGATGGAGATCAGAGAGACAGTGAGAAAGGACAGACTCATTGTTGGCAGAAACTTGGATTAACATTGGGAACCTCACACCTCAGTTCTCTCTTCCTCCCTCTTTATCCTCACACGCGGTCACACACTGTATCTCACACTCTTTTTATGTCTCACATCGACTCTCTCTCTCTCTCTGACTTTTTTTTGTGGACTGAAGCTCTGACGGATTGAAGGCACCAATGACACCAAAGTATTCGAAAGATATCACAACCCCCACCCCCCCCCCCAACCCCACACACCCCACCCTGTGGGACAGGAGAGTGAATCAGTGACGCTGCAGCCTCCCCTCGCGGATAGACTTGTAACTACAGAGTGCAAAATTGTTCCCAGGTTTAGATATGGAGATACAGAGAAGATACGCTGTAGGAAGTTGGCTCAATGGAGGCAGGGAGATGGTTAGTATTGTGTGTTTGTGTGCGTTCGACATGAGGCAGTTACTACTGTGTGTGTGTTCGGGGGTGCGATTAGACAGAGAAGAGTCAGGGAAAGTTAAGCACTCGTGTTGGTGACTATGGAAGGGAAGTGTGAATGATAATTATCTGTGTGGCAGGCGATAGGCAGTGAGGGGGTTAATTCAATGTGATTTTGTAGATGCAGTCGGGGACCGTCTTATCTTTTTGTGTCGGTGTCTCAGAAGGTGTGAGAGACAGACCCACCCCATGTTTGCCGGCCATGAAGACCCATGAAGGCGCTGAGTAAACCCCAGTCCTTGTTGGCTTTGAGTTGGAGAGTCAGTGAGTTTGGGAGTCAGTGTGTGTGAGTGTGAGAGTGTCAGTGAGGCAGTGAGAGTGTGAGTGAGTCGGTGGGTGTGTGTGTTCCCCGCCCTGACGGCTTTAATCGGGGACAGAGACAGAGACACAGAGGGAACAGTGTGGAGAGTGGGCGACATGGAGCCGTGGCTACTCCGGCCCTGAACCTCTATTTCTCTCTGTCTCTCAATGGTCTGTGTTGTTGGGTTTTATTTCTGCAGAGACTGAGGGCAGGTGTTGGTGGGGGAGGGGCTGGTGTGTGTGTGTATAGAATCGAGTCGTTGTTTGTCCTGTGTGAGGTTTATGTACGAGAGATCTGTCTCTATCTCACGCTGTGTCCTTCTCTCGCAGCGCAGTAATACACCCCCTCCTGGGTTGGGTTCAAGTTGGAGATCTTCAGGGAGGATTCCTTGTCATCAGTTGTCTTTGTCATATTGTAGCCGGATTCAAAGCCTTTCTCATACGTTGGAGTTGTCACCACGGCGTATGCGATCAATGTGAGGCCTCCATGATGGGGTTGGAAGTACCAGAGCATTACTTGATAGTCTGTGTCATTCTGATAACAATTCAAACTCACTGTCTCCCCCTCTCTGGCTGTGACTGTCCGCGGCCACTGAGTCACCAAAGCTCCCAGTGACAGACCTGCAAAGACAATATAACATCCATCATCCTGCCCACAGGGAATGTCCTGGTCTGATCCCCGGAATTACATACGTATATGTATATACACATACACACACATACACAGAGCCGGATCTTCTCAGACAGACAGAGTGGAGGATGATATGAAATCCCATTGGAATTGGGAGCCTGAGAGGAATTGGGAGACTTTGGGAGATACTCACAGGGCCAGAGGATGGAGACCAGAGAGACAGTGAGAAAGGACAGACTCATTGTTGGCAGAGACTTGGATTAACATTGGGAACCTCACACCAGAGCTCAGGTTCCTTTCTCTCTCTCATATACACTCTTTCTTTAACTCTTTCTTTAACTCTTTCTTTAACACTCACACTCTCTCTTTCTCAGTAACTCTCCCCCTCTATCCTAAACGTTGTCTCTCTCACTGTATCTCCGTGAAGCTCTGGAAAAGGAAAGGCTCCAATGACACCAAAGTGTCGGCACCATATCGGAAGTGACCTCTCCCCCCCCCCCCCCACTCCCCACCCACCTAGTGGGACATTGGTTGGAGAGGAGATGTGGGGGAGTCTTAGTGAAGCTACAGCCTCCCCCAAAGTATGGCCTGGGAGATCATAAAATTAGTCGTTGGTTCGGAGACGTAGAGGGAACAGTGTGGAGAGTGGGCGACATGGAGCCGTGGCTACTCCGGCCCTGAACCTCTATTTCTCTCTGTCTCTCAGTCATGTGTTGTTGAGTTTTATTTCTGCAGAGACTGAGGGCAGGTGTTGGCGGGGAGGGGCTGGTGTGTGTGTGTGTGTATAGAATCGAGTCGTTGGGTATCCCGTGTGAGGTTTATGTACGAGAGATCTGTCTCTCTCTCACACTGTGCCCTTCTCTCGCAGCGCAGTAATACACCCCCTCCTGGGCTACGTTCTTGATCTCCAAGGAGCAGTTCTTATAGTCATCAGTCTGTGTAATTTTGTAGTCAGGTTTGTCATCCTCAATCGTTGGAGTTGACATAAAACCGTATCCAATCAATGTGAGGCCTCCCTGATGGGGTTGGATGTACCAGAGCATCGTATCAAGGGCACTGTCATCCTGGTGACATCTCAAAGTCACTGTCTCCCCCTCTCTGGCTGTGACTGTCTCCGGCCACTGAGTCACCAAAGCTCCCAGTGACAGACCTGCAAAGACAATATAACATCCATCATCCTGCCCACAGGGAATGTCCTGGTCTGATCCCCGGAATGACATACACATACGGGCGCACACACTCACACATACACACATGCACATACACACACATACACAGAGCCAGATATTCTCAGACAGAGAGAGTGGAGGATGATATCAAAATCCCATTGGAATTGGGAGCCTGAGGGGAATTGAGAGACTTTGGGAGATACTCACAGGGCCATAGGATGGAGATCAGAGAGATAGTGAGAAAGGACAGACTCATTGTTGGCAGAGACTTGGATTAACATTGGGAACCTCACACCAGAGCTCAGGTTCCTCTCTCTCTCTCCCCCCCCACTGTCACACGCCCTCTTTCTGTTTACCTTTCTCAACAACACTCCCCCTCTCTCCTAATGGTTGTCTCCCTCTCTCTCTCTCTCTCTCTCCTCTGTATTTGTGGAATTAAGCTCCAGCAGAGTAAAGGCACCAATGACCCCAAGGTGTCGGTACCACATCGGAAGTGGGTGTCACTCCCGCCCCCCACCGAGGGACATTGGTGGGAGGTGGAGATGTCTTAGTGAAGCCACAGCCTCCCCCAGGGTCTGGTCCAGGAACTGCAAGTCACAAAATTGGTCCCAGATTCAGAGACAGAGGCACAGAGGGAACAGTGTGGAGAGTGGGCGACATGGAGCCGTGGCTACTCCGGCCCTGAACCTCGATTTCTCTCTGTCTCTCAATCATCTGTGTTGATGGGTTTTATTTCTGCAGAGACTGAGGGCAGGTGTTGGTGGGGGAGGGGCTGGTGTGTGTGTGTGTGTGTATAGAATCTAGTGGTTGTGTATCCTGTGTGAGGTTTATGTACGAGAGATCTGTCTCTCTCTCACGCTGTGCCCTTCTCTCGCAGCACAGTAATACACCCCCTCCTGGGTTGGGGTCAATCTGGAGATCTCCAAGAAGGACTCCTTCCTGTTACTGGTCTGGTTAACTTTGTAGTCAGATTCAAAACCCTTCTCATAGTTTGGGGTTGATGCAGAGACATAAGCGATCAATGTGAGGCCTCCCTGATGGGGTTGGATGTACCAGAGCATCGTATAAACGGAGCTATCGTCCTGGCGACATCTCAAAGTCACTGTCTCCCCCTCTCTGGCTATGACTGTCCGCGGCCTCTGAGTCACCAAAGCTCCCAGTGACAGACCTGCAAAGACAATATAACAGTGAGATCCGCCGACAGGGAATCTGGGCTGAATGTCCTGGGGGGTGTTCAATGGATTACGCACACACACAAAGCGCAATCATCGCGGACAGAGAGAGGGTGTGATATGAAATCCCTGTGGATTTGAGAGTTTACGGGGAAGAGAAATGTTGGGAGATACTCACAGGGCCAGAGGATGGAGATCAGAGAGACAGTGAGAAAGGACATTGTTGGCAGAGACTTGGATTAACATTGGGAACCTCACACCAGAGCTCAGGTTCCTCTCTCTGTCACTGTCTCTCTGTCTCTCCCTCTCTCTATGTCTCTGGAATGAAGCTCTGACAGAGTAAAGTCTGCACCACATCGGAAGTGGGCCTCACCTCCCCCCAGTGATGGGAGGTGGAGCTGGGGAGGAGGGGAGGTGTCCTAGTGAAGCTACAGCCTCCCCAGGGTATGAACTGGGTACAGCGGGTCCCAAAATTGGTTCCAAATTCAGAGATAGAAATACAGATGCATCTGGAATGCGTTGCCTGAAAGGCTGGTGGAAGCCCATTCGATAACAGCTTTTATGAGAGAAGCAGAGGATTTGGGGAGGACAAGTTTGCAGGTTATGGGGTGAGAGGGGGGAGTGGGGTTGAATTGGAAGCTCTTTTCAAAGACCGGCACAGACACAATGAGCCGAATGGCCTCCATCTGCGCTGTATAATTCTACGATTCTACATCGGAAGTGGGTCTCGTGCCCCACCCACCAGTGGGGCATTGGTGGGAGGTTTGAGATGTGGGGAAAGGGAAGCCTTTTAGTGAAGTTACAGCCTCCCCCGGGGTATTGGTCAGGAACACGAGATCACAAAATTGGTCCCAGATTCAGACTCAGAGACACAGAGGGAACAGTGGGCGACATGGAGCCGTGGCGACTCCGGCCCTGAACCTTTATTTCTCTCTGTCTCTCAATCGGCTGTGTTGATGGATTTTATTTCCACAGAGACTGAGGGCAGGTGTTGGTGGGGGAGGGACTGGTGTGTGTGTGTGTGTGTGTATAGAATCGAGTCGTTGTGTATCCTGTGTGAGGTTTATGTATGACAGATCTGTCTCTCTCTCACGCTGTGCCCTTCTCTCGTAGCGCAGTAATACACCCCTCCTGGGTTGGGTTGATGTTGGAGATCTCCAGGGTGGAGTTCATGTTGTCAGGTGTCTTGGTAATGTTGTAGCCGGATTTAAACTTGTCCTCATATTCGGTTGAGAATCGGTTATATCCGATCAATGTGAGGCCTCCCTGATGGGGTTGGATGTACCAGAGCATTGTAATGTCAGTACTGGCAGTATTGTCCTGGTGACAATTCAAACTCACAGTCTCCCCCTCTCTGGCTGTGACTGTCCGCGGCCACTGAGTCACCAAAGCTCCCAGTGACAGACCTGCAAAGACAATATAACAATGAGATCCTCCAACAGGGAATCTGAGCTGAATGTCCTGGGGGGTGTTCAATGGATTATGCACACACACAAAGCGCAATCATCGCGGAGAGAGAGAGGGTGTGATATGAAATCCCTGTGGATTTGAGAGTTTACGGGGATGAGAGACGTTGGGAGATACTCACAGGGCCAGAGGATGGGGATCAGAGAGACAGTGAGAAAGGACAGACACATTGTTGGCAGAGACTTGGATTAACGTTGGGAACCTCACACCAGAGCTCAGGTTCCTCTCACTATCTGTGTCTCTCTTCTAAGGCTTAAAAGCTTCTAAGGGAGAAGCAAATAACTATTTGGGGAGGACAAGTTTGCAGGTTATGGGAGAGAGTGGGGGAGTGGGGTCGAATTGGAAGCTCTTTTCAAAGACCGGCACAGACACGATGAGCCGAATGGTCTCCATCTGCGCTGTATAATTCTATTCGATTCTACATCGGAAGTGGGTCTTGTGCCCCACCCACCAGTGGGGCATTGGTGGGAGGTTTGAGATGAGGGGAAAGGGAAGCCTTTTAGTGAAGTTACAGCCTCCCCCGGGGTATTGGTCAGGAACACGAGATCACAAAATTGGTCCCAGATTCAGATTCAGAGACACAGAGGGAACAGTGAGGAGAGTGGGTGACATGGAGCCGTGGCTACTCCGGCCCTGAACCTCGATTTCTCTCTGTCTCTCAATCGTCCATGTCGATGGGTTTTATTTCCGCAGAGACTGAGGGCAGGTGTTGGCGGGGGAGGGGCTGGTGTGTGTGTGTATAGAATCGAGTCGTTGTGTATCCTGTGTGAGGTTTATGTACGAGAGGTCTGTCTCTCTCTCACGCTGTGCCCTTCTCTCGCAGCGCAGTAATACACCCCCTCCTGGGTTGCCTTCTTGATCTCCAGGGAACAGTTCTTATAGTCGTCTGTCTGTTTAACTTCGTAGTCAAGTTTGTAAGCATCCTCCATCGTTGGGTTTGACGCAAAACCGTATCCAATCAATGTGAGGCCTCCCTGATGGGGTTGGAGGTACCACAGCATTGTTTGATAGGCTGTGTCCTTCTGGTGACAATTCAAAGTCACTGTCTCCCCTCTCTGGCTGTGACTGTCCGCGGCAACTGAGTCACCAAAGCTCCCAGTGACAGACCTGCAAAGACAATATAACATCAGGTCATCCTGCCCACAGGGAATGTTCTGGTCTGATTCCCGGAATGACACACACACACAAACTCACATTCACACAAACACATCCCTCAAACAGAAAGAGGGTTTGGATATGAAATCCCAATGGCTTTGGGACCCTGAAGGGAATTGAGAGATGTTGAGAGATACTCACAGGGCCAGAGGATGGAGATCAGAGAGACAGTGAGAAAGGACAGACTCATTGTTGGCAGAGACTTGGATTAACAATGGGAACCTCACACCAGAGCTCAGGTTCCTCTCTCTATCTGCGTCTCTCTGTCTCTCCCTCTCTCTATGTCTCTGGAATGAGGCTCTGACAGAGTAAAGTCTGCACCACATCGGAAGTGGGCCTCACCTCCCCCCAGTGATGGGAGGTGGAGCTGGGGAGGAGGGGAGGTGTCTTAGTGAAGCTACAGCCTCCCCCAGGGTATGAACTGGGTACAGCGGGTCCCAAGATTGGCTCCAAATTCAGAGATAGGAATACAGATGCATCTGGAATGCGTTGCCTGAAAGGCTGGTGGAAGCCCATTCGATAACAGCTTTTATGAGACCAGTAGATACCTATTTGGGGAGGACAAGTTTGCAGGTTATGGGGAGAGAGCGGGGGAGTGGGGTCGAATTGGAAGCTCTTTTCAAAGACCGGCACAGACACGATGAGCCGAATGGCCTCCATCTGCGCTGTATAATTCTGTGATTCTACATCGGTCTCGTGCCCCACCCACCAGTGGGGCATTGGTGGGAGGTTTGAGATGTGGGGAAAGGGAAGCCTTTTAGTGAAGTTACAGCCTCCCCCGGGGTATTGGTCAGGAACACGAGATCACAAAATTGGTCCCAGATTCAGACTCTAGAGACACAGAGGGAACAGTGTGGAGAGTGGGCGACATGGAGCCGTGGCTACTCCGGCCCTGAACCTCGATTTCTCTCTGTCCTCAATCGTCTGTGTTGATGGGTTTTATTTCTGCGGAGACTGAGGGCAGGTGTTGGTGGGGGAGGGGCTGGTGTGTGTGTGTACAGAATCGAGTCGTTGTGTATCCTGTGTGAGGTTTATGTACGAGAGATCTGTCTCTCTCTCACGCTGTGCCCTTCTCTCGCAGCGCAGTAATACACCCCCTCCTGGGTTGGGTTCATGTTGGTGATCTCCAGGGTGGAGTTCATGTTGTCAGGTGTCTTGGTAATGTTGTAACCAGATTTAAACTTGTCCTCATATGCGGTTGAGAATCGGTTATATCCAATCAATGTGAGGCCTCCCTGATGGGGTTGGAGGTACCAGAGCATCGTATCAAGGGATTTGTCGTTATGGCTACATCTCAAAGTCACTGTCTCCCCCTCTCTGGCTGTGACTGTCCGCGGCCACTGAGTCAGCAAAGCTCCCAGTGACAGACCTGCAAAGACAATATAACAATGAGATCCGCCGACAGGGAATCTGGGCTGAATGTCCTGGGGGGTGTTCAATGGATTACGCACACACACAAAGCGCAATCATCGCGGAGAGAGAGAGGGTGTGATATGAAATCCCTGTGGATTTGAGAGTTTACGGGGATGAGAGAGATGTTGGGAGATACTCACAGGGCCAGAGGATGGAGATCAGAGAGACAGTGAGAAAGGACAGACTCATTGTTGGCAGAGACTTGGATTAACATTGGGAACCTCACACCAGAGCTCAGGTTCCTCTCTCTATCTGCGTCTCTCTGTCTCTCCCTCTCTCTGTGTCTCTGGAATGAAGCTCTGACAGAGTAAAGTCTACACCACGTCAGAAGTGGGCTTCACCTCCCCCCAGTGATGGGAGGTGGAGCTGGGGAGGAGGGGAGGTGTCTTAGTGAAGCTACAGCCTCCCCCGGGGTATGAACTGGGTACAGCGGGTCCCAAAATTGGTTCCAAATTCAGAGATAGAGACACAGATGCATCTGGAATGCGTTGCCTGAAAGGCTGGTGGAAGCCCATTCGATAGCAGCTTTTATGAAAGAAACAGATAACTATTTGGGGAGGACAAGTTTGCAGGTTATGGGGAGAGAGTGGGGGAGTGGGGTTGAATTGGAAGCTCATTTCAAAGACCGGCACAGACACAATGAGCTGAATGGCCTCCATCTGCGCTGTATGATTCTACGAATCTACATCGGAAGTGGGTCTCGTGCCCCACCCACCAGTGGGGCATTGGTGGGAGGTTTGAGATGAAGCCTTTTAGTGAAGTTACAGCCTCCCCCGGGGTATTGGTCAGGAACACGAGATCACAAAATTGGTCTCAGAGTCAGAGACACAGAGCGAACAGTGTGGAGAGTGGGCGACATGGAGCCGTGGCTACTCCGGCCCTGAACCTCGATTTCTCTCTGTCTCTCAATCGTCTGTGTTGATGGGTTTTATTTCTGCAGAGACTGAGGGCAGGTGTTGGCGGGGGAGGGGCTGGTGTGTGTGTGTGTGTGTATAGAATCGAGTCGTTGTGTATCCTGTGTGAGGTTTATGTACGAGAGATCTGTCTCTCTCTCACGCTGTGTCCTTCTCTCGCAGCGCAGTAATACACCCCCTCCTGGGTTGCCTTCTTGATCTCCAGGGAACAGTTCTTATAATCGTCTGTCTGTTTAACTTCGTAGTCAAGTTTGTAAGCATCCTCCATCGTTGGTGTTGAATAAGAACCGTATCCAATCAATGTGAGGCCTCCCTGATGGGGTTGGAGGTACCAGAGCATTGCTTCATATTTAGTGTTATTCTGGTAACATCTCAAAGTCACTGTCTCCCCCTCTCTGGCTGTGACTGTCCGCGGCCTCTGAGTCACCAAAGCTCCCAGTGACAGACCTGCAAAGACAATATTGCAATGAGATCCGCCGACAGGGAATCTGGGCTGAATGTCCTGGGGGGTGTTCAATGGATTACGCGCACACACAAAGCGCGATCATCGCGGACAGAGAGAGGGTGTGATATGAAATCCCTGTGGATTTGAGAGTTTACGGGGATGGGAGAGATACTCACAGGGCCAGAGGATGGAGATCAGAGAGACAGTGAGAAAGGACAGACTCATTGTTGGCAGAGACTTGGATTAACATTGGGAACCTCACTCCTCAGTTCTCTCTTCCTCCCTCTTTATCCTCACACAAGGTCACACACTGTATCTCACACTCTTTTTATCGCTCACATCGACTCTGACTTTTTTCTTGTGGACTGAAGCTCTGACGGATTGAATGCACCAATGACACCAAAGTCTTCGAAAGATATCACAAGACCCAACCCCCCCCCCCCCACACACCCCACCCTGTGGACCGGGAGAGTGTATCAGTGACGCTGCAGCCTCCCCTCGGGGATAAACTTGTAACTACACGATGCAAAATTGTTCCCAGGTTTAGATATGGAGATAGAGAGAAGATACGATGTAGGAAGTTGGCACAATGGAGGCAGGAAGATGGTTAATATTGTGTGTTTGTGTGTGTTTGACATGAGGCAGTTACTACTGTATGTGTGTTGGGGGGTTGGGATGAGACAGAGAAGAGTCAGAGACAGAGACACAGAGGGAACAGTGTGGAGAGTGGGCGACATGGAGCCGTGGCTACTCCGGTCCTGAACCTCTATTTCTCTCTGTCTCTCAATCGTCTGTGTTGATGGGTTTTATTTCTGCAGAGACTGAGGGCAGGTGTTGGCGCGGGAGGGGCTGGTGTGTGTGTGTGTACAGAATCGAGTGGTTGTGTATCCTGTGTGAGGTTTATGTACGAGAGATCTGTCTCTCTCTCACGCTGTGCCCTTCTCTCGCAGCGCAGTAATACACCCCCTCCTGGGTTGGGTTCATGCTGGAGATCTCCAGGGTGGAGTTCATTTTGTCCGGTGTCTTGGTAATGTTGTAGCCGGATTTAAACTTGTCCTCATATGTGGTTGAATATTGGTTATATCCGATCAATGTGAGGCCTCCCTGATGGGGTTGGATGTACCAGAGCATCATATCAAGGGATTTGTCGTTGTGGCTGCATCTCAAACTCACTGTCTCCCCCTCTCTGGCTGTGACTGTCCGCGGCCTCTGAGTCACCAAAGCTCCCAGTGACAGACCTGCAAAGACAATATAACAGTGAGATCCGCCGACAGGGAATCTGGGCTGAATGTCCTGGGGGGTGTTCAATGGATTACGCACACACACAAAGCGCAATCATCGCGGACAGAGAGAGGGTGTGATATGAAATCTCTGTAGATTTGAGAGTTTACGGGGAATTGAGAGATGTTGAGAGATACTCACAGGGCCAGAGGATGGAGATCAGGGACACAGTGAGAAAGGACATTGTTGGCAGAGACTTGGATTAACATTGGGAACCTCACACCAGAGCTCAGGTTCCTCTCTCTCTCTCATATACACTCTTTCTTTATCTCTTTCTTTAACTCTTTCTTTAACACTCACACTCCCTTTCTCAGTAACTCTCCCCCTCTATCCTCAACGTTGTCTCTCTCACTTTATCTCTGTGAAGCTCTGGAAAAGGAAAGGCTCCAATGACACCAAAGTGTCGGCACCACATCGGAAGTGACCTCTACTCCCCCCCCCCCCACCCACCTTGTGGGACATTGGTTGGAGAGGAGATGTGGGTGGGTGGGGATGTCTTAGTGAAGCTACAGCCTCCCCCAAAGTATGGCCTGGGAACAGTTGCTCATAAAATTAGTCGTTGGTTCGGAGACGTAGAGTGAACAGTGAGGAGAGTGGGTGACATGGAGCCGTGGCTACTCCGGCCCTGAACCTCTATTTCTCTCTGTCTCTCAATCGTCTGTGTTGATGGGTTTTATTTCTGCAGAGACTGAGGGCAGGTGTTGGCGGGGGAGGGGCTGGTGTGTGTGTGTGTGTGTGTATAGAATCGAGTGGTTGTGTATCCTGTGTGAGGTTTATGTACGAGAGATCTGTCTCTCTCTCACGCTGTGCCCTTCTCTCGCAGCGCAGTAATACACCCCCTCCTGGGTTGGGTTCATGTTGGTGATCTCCAGGGTGGAGTTCATGTTGTCAGGTGTCTTGGTAATGTTGTAGCCGGATTTAAACTTGTCCTCATATTCGGTTGAGTATCGGTTATATCCGACCAATGTGAGGCCTCCCTGATGGGGTTGGAGGTACCAGAGCATCGTAATGTCAGTACTGGCAGTATCGTCCTGGTGACAATTCAAAGTCACTGTCTCCCCCTCTCTGGCTGTGACTGTCCGCGGCCTCTGAGTCACCAAAGCTCCCAGTGACAGACCTGCAAAGACAATATAACAATGAGATCGCTCCAACAGGGAATCTGAGCTGAATGTCCTGGGGGGTGTTCAATGGATTACGCACACACCAACAGGGACAGCAATGGAGGCCGGGGCGGTCGGGATGGGAGGATATGAAATCCCTGTGGATTTGAGAGTTTACGGGGATGAGAGAGATGTTGAGAGATACTCACAGGGCCACAGGATGGAGATCAGAGAGACGGTGAGAAAGGACAGACTCATTGTTGGCAGAGACTTGGATTAACATTGGGAACCTCACCCCTTAGTTCTCTCTCTCTCTTCATCCTAACACATTTGCGCACACACTGCTTTTCTCTCTCATATCAACGCCCTCTCTCACTCTGACTCTCTCTCTCTGTCTGTGGACTGCAGCTCTGGCAGATTGAAGGTACCAATGACACCAAAGTATTCGAACTACAGCACAAGAACTCCTCCGCCCCCCCCCCCCCCCCCCCGTTCCCTGGGGTATTGGTGAGTGAATCAATGAGGCTATAGCCTCCCCTAGAGCACGGACTGGTAACTGCAATCTATCGCTGAGATTTCCTTGTGTAGTTGAGATGAATGGAAATCCCAGCTTCATTTGCATACTCTTAAACATGATGGTTAGTTTCCACATGTGTCAAGACACACGGCCGACCAAAATTTATACCCCTGGATGTTTCTGTTTGAAACTCCCTGAAGATCCAAAGATATAGTTTTCAGTGCATTATCAGACACTTCATGTTGCCTTTGCCGAGGAACTAATTCAGTATCAAATTGAAAAATAACATTCAAATCTTAGCCGTGCTGCACATAATCCACCTAAACCGGACTGATATCACTGAGGAAGAACAAAGCTGGTTATTGCTTGAGCATTTGCCTCACCAGCAAATCAACAATTCATACAACAACAAGATTTCATTTATAGAGCGCCTTTCACGTCGAGAGGACGTCCCAAGGCGCTGGACAGTTGGGTCAGGACCCGAGCATTGGGGGGAAATGGTCAGGGTGAGGGGAGGGAAGGGAGGGAGCGAGGAGGGGGAAGAGAGTCGAGAGGGGAGCTGAAGGCTCGGTCAAAGAGAGAGGTCTTGAGACCGGCCTTCAAGGAGGAAAGGGAGGAGGCGGCGAAGGCACTGGGGGATAGAGTTCCAGAGCTTCGGGGCTGAGAGCCTGAAGGCCCGGCCCCGATGGTAGGGCGGTTGGGGCGGGGGATGTGGAGCAGACCGGAGCCAGAGGAACGGAGGGTACGGGCAGGTAGGTAGGGGGATAGTAATTCGGAGAGGTAGGAGGGAGCGAGGCCGTGAATGGCCTTGTAGGTGAGGACGAGGATCTTGAATTCAAGACGATGTTCATTCAAACCTATATTCATGGAATAAATGATCGCCTCATTTTAGAAGCAATTCTGGAAACAACATCAAGAGGTAAGAGAGCAATATTCAACTCAAACTACTTAGCTTCCCTTTATTCAATCTTTGCAAGTTTTGACCCCATGAGGGAGCCAAGGATATTACACCACTAATACCCCGGGCTGCAGAGGTGATTCTGCCGTAATATAGGGGTAAACAAAGACATAGAGCAAATCTATCAGCAGTTAAGTTTTATGCTGAACCATGCAGAGGGTTGCCTGGCGCGCACAGATAGTTTGTGTACAGCAAGTTCTAATACCCAAACTGACCTCTTCCCGAGGATATTCCCATCCTGATATTCTCTGTGCAGCACGGGGTACGAGAACCCTTGGATCTGACTGTCCCGATCCATGCTGGTCTGCAGCTCGATCAGTAAATACTGTCTTACATTCATTCCAGTCGTTTGTCCTGATCCGATACAAAGCTTCTCCCTCTGCCCTGGTGGAGATTTGGTCTCTGGTGTAAGAGATGATCCTAATAATAACATGCCTTGCATTTGATATAGCGCTTTGATGTAACATCTTCTCGACCTCTCAAAGCGCTTCACAGAGTATACTGTAAAGTGAATTGACTGTATGTTTGTGGGTATACAGCAGCCGATTGAGCACAGCAACATCTCACAAACATTCGTGGGTTCAGTTACCAAATTATTATTCTTTTAAGGATTATTATCACCGCTAAAGCAATCCGTTAATCAACTGGCAACCGGGTGCCTAGTTACTGCTCGGTAAACAGAGGCGCGTGGAGAAAAGAAACTTGCCCAATATTTCGCCCTTCAGAGGCGAGTGCTCTAACCCACTGAGCTACAGACTCACAATAGCTTCTTGGGAGGTGGTTAAACACCCCAGGTGTCTGAGTGAGGGGGGGAGGTGAAATAGGGGGAGAGGGGGGAGAGGTGAATGAGGTGAGGGAGGAGGACAAGTTCAATGATGAAGGGGACAAGATCTGAAGGTAGAAGACAGATGTTTGGTCAGCCAGGGCGAAGAAACACACACCCACACACACACTGACCAACTCACTCACCTATTTACTGACTCACTTGCACTCTCAGACTCAAACTCACTGACTCACACACATTCACCGACTCTCACGTTCGTTGACTGGAAGTCAACAAGGCCTCAGAGCCTCCATGGCTGGGTCGTATCTCGGAGCTTCTGTCCAACGGTGGGCAACAATGGCGGAAACAGAAAGTGACCAGCCAGATATAGGAAGTGAGCACCGGGAAACAGGTGTTTGCAGCCAGGAAACGGGAAGCGAGACTGGAAAACAGGACGTAAATAGCCAGCAACCAGAAGAGCACAGACAGGAAACTAGAATTGAGGCTGGGAGACAGGAAGTTGGTACTAATTTTGCTGTCTGTAGTTACCAGTCCGTCCCCTAGTGGAGGCTATGGCCTCATTGACTCACTCTCCCATTCCCACAGGGGGTGGGTTCTTTTGCTGTAGTTCGAATACTTTGGTGTCATTGGTGTCTTCAAACTGCCAGAGCTTCAGTCCACAGACAGAGAGAGAGTCAGACTGAGAGAGGCCATTGATCTGAGAAATAAAAGGAGTGTGTGTGAGACACAGTGTGTGCATACATACATACAGAGACAGAGAAGGACAACTGAGGTGTGAAGTTCCCATTGTTAATCCAAGTCTCTGCCAACAATGAGTCTGTCCTTTTACACTGTCTCTCTGATCTCCATCCTCTGGCCCTGTGAGTATAACTCAACATTAATAATAATAATCCCTCCAAAAAACCAAAAACAATAATTAAATTGGTCATTTTCAATCTACGACTGTTTGTGGGACATTGCTGTGCGCAATTGGCTGCCGCGTTCGCCCACAAATATACAGTCAATTCACTTTACAGTGTGTTCTGTGAAGCGCTTTGGGACGTCCTCCCGACGTGAAAAGCACTATATCAAATGCAAGGATTATTATTATTATATTATTATCTCTCACTTCCCCTCAGGCTCTAAGTACACTGGGATTACATGCGCGCTCTCCCTATCCGCGATGATCGCGCTTTGTGTGCGTAATTCATTGAACACCCCCCAGGACATTCAGCCCAGATTCCCTGTCGGCGGATCTCACTGTTATATTGTCTTTGCAGGTCTGTCACTGGGAGCTTTGGTGACTCAGTGGCCGCGGACAGTCACAGCCAGAGAGGGGGAGACAGTGAGTTTGAATTGTCACCAGGACGACAGCTCCCTTTATACGATGCTCTGGTACATCCAACCCCATCAGGGAGGCCTCACATTGATCGGGTACAATGAACACTCAACCATATATGAGGACAAGTTTAAATCCGGCTACAACATTACCAAGACAACTAATAGAATGAACTCCACCCTGGAGATCTCCAGCATGAACCCAACCCAGGAGGGGGTGTATTACTGCGCTGCGAGAGAAGGGCACAGCGTGAGAGAGAGACAGATCTCTCGTACATAAACCTCACACAGGATACACAACGACTCGATTCTATACACACACACACCAGCCCCTCCCCCGCCAACACCTGCCCTCAGTCTCTGCAGAAATAAAACCCATCAACACAGACGATTGAGAGTCAGAGAGAAATCGAGGTTCAGGGCCGGAGTAGCCACGGCTCCATGTCGCCCACTCTCCACACTGTTCCCTCTGTGTCTCTGAATCTGGGACAATTTAGTGATCTCGTGTTCCTGACCAATACCCCGGGGGAGGCTGTAACTTCACTAAAAGGCTTCTCTTTCCCCACATCTCAAACCTCCCACCGATGCCCCACTGGTGGGTGGGGCACGAGACCCACTTCCGATGTAGAATCATAGATTATACAGCGCAGGTGGAGGCCATTCGGCTCATCGTGTCTGTGCCGGTCTTTGAAAAGAGCTTCCAATTCAACCCCACTCCCCGCCTCTGCAAACCTGCAAACTTGTCCCCCCCAAATTTGCTTCTCCCTTAAAAGTTGTTATCGAATGGGCTTCCACCATCCTCTGTGGCAATCCATTCCGGAGCCCAACAACTCGCTGTGTAAAAACATGTCTCTTCATTTCCCCTCTGTTTCTTTTAACAACTATTTTAAATTGGTGTCCTCCGGTTACCGACCCACCCGCCAGTGCAATAGTTTCTCCTTGTTCACCCCATCAAATACCTTCATAATTTGGAAAACCTCTATTCAGTCTCTTCTTCACCTTCTCTATTCAAATTAGAATAATCCTCGCTTCTCCGGCTTCTTCTGATATCCGAAGTCCCTCATTCCTTGTATTTTCCTGGTAAATCTCCTTTGCACTCTCTCCGATGCCTTAACATGATTTCTAAAGTGTGGTGCCCAGAACTGAACACAGTCTCTGGCTGACCCTAACCAGTGACTTTACAAAGGTTAATCATAACGTCCCTACTTGTATTCTATGCCACTATTTTTAAAGCCGAGTTTCCCTTATGTTTTCTATAAAATAGCTTTATCTACCTGTCCTGCCACCTTCAAACATTTACTTATATGAACACTGATGTCTCTCTATTCCTTCACCTCCTTTAAAATTCTACCATGAGCTTATATTACCATTAATCTTTCTTCCTCCAAAATCCATCACTTGGGATTTATCCACATGAAACTTCATCTGCCCCGTGTCTGCCCATATTACCAGGCTGCCAATGTCCATTTGCAGTCGGCTACTATCCTCCTCACGGTTTACTGCTATTACTAACTTAGTATCATCTGCAAACTTGGAAATTATACTCTCTATAGCCAAGTCCTGGTCATTTATACAGATCAGAAACAGCAGTGGTCCCAATACTGAGCCCTGGGGACACCACTGCACACTTCCCTCCAGTCAGGATAGAACTGTTCACCACCCACCACTCTCTGCTTTCTGTCTCCCAACCAGTTCTGTATCCGCTGCCCCTGTCCCTTTAATACCGAGGGCTTCTATGTTGATTACTTGTCTCTTATATGGAATTTTATCAAACGCCTTTTGAAAATACATATAAACTACATCAACTGCACTAAGTTCATCCACACTCTCCGTCACTTCATCAAAATTACATACATAAACCTGACACTGGATACACGACTCAATTTACCAGACACACAAAGAAACCAACACCTCCCCAACATCTCCACCTCCCACTAATGTCCCACTGGGGGAGGGGTGGGGGGAGGCAGAGAGACGCGCTTCCGCTTTGGGGTCATTAATGTTTTTACGCTGCCGAGTGTGAGAGATAGAGACAGAGCCAATGTGTGAGAGACATTTAGAAAGACAGAGAGGAACCTGAGCTCTGGTGTGAGGTTCCCAATGTTAATCCAAGTCTCTGCCAACAATGAGTCTGTCCTTTCTCACTGTCTCTCTGATCTCCATCCTCTGGCCCTGTGAGTATCTCTCAACATCTCCCTCATCCCCGTAAACTCTCAAATCCACAGGGATTTCATATCACACCTCACTCTGTCCGCGATGATCGCGCTTTGTGTGTGTGCGTAATCCATTGAACACCCCCCAGGACATTCAGCCCAGATTCCCTGTCGGCGGATATCATTGTTATATTGTCTTTGCAGGTCTGTCACTGGGAGCTTTGGTGACTCAGTTGCCGCGGACAGTCACAGCCAGAGAGGGGGAGACAGTGAGTTTTACATGTAACCAGAATGACAGTGCCCTTAATACAATGCTCTGGTACCTCCAACCCCATCAGGGAGGCCTCACATTGATCGGATATGCTGTTCTGTCAAACCCAACGTATGAGAAAGGCTTTGAATCTGGTTACAACATTACACAGAGTAATGACAAGAAGAAATCATCCCTGGAGATCTCCAGCATAAACCCAACCCAGGAGGGGGTGTATTACTGCGCTGCGAGAGAAGGGCACAGCGTGAGAGAGAGACAGATCTCTCGTACATAAACCTCACACAGGATACACAACGACTCGATTCTATACACACACACACACACACCAGCCCCTCCCCCACCAACACCTGCCCTCAGTCTCTGCAGAAATAAAACCCATCAACACAGACGATTGAGGACAGAGAGAAATAGAGGTTCAGGGCCGGAGTAGCCACGGCTCCATGTCGCCCACTCTCCACACTGTTCCCTCTGTGTCTCTGAATCTGGGACCAATTTAGTGATCTTGTGTTCCTGACCGATACCCCGGGGGAGGCTGTAACTTCACTAAAAGGCTTCCCTTTCCTCTCACCTCAAACCTCCCGCCTCACTTTCAGGTAACGCATTCCAGATGCATCTGTCTCTATCTCTGAATTTGGAACCAATTTTGGGACCCGCTGTACCCAGTTCATACCCCGGGGGAGGCTGTAGCTACACTAAGACACCTCCCCTCCTCCCCAGCTCCACCTCCCATCACTGGGGGGAGGTGAGGCCCACTTCCGATGTGCAGACTTTACTCTGTCAGAGCTTCATTCCAGAGACATAGAGAGAGGGAGAGACAGAGAGACAGTGACAGAGAGAGGAACCTGAGCTCTGGTGTGAAGTTCCCAATGTTAATCCAAGTCTCTGCCAACAATGAGTCTGTCCTTTCTCACTGTCTATCTGATCTCCATCCTCTGGCCCTGTGAGTATCTCTCAACATCTCTCAATTCCCTTCAGGCTCCCAAATACACTGGGATTTCATATCATCCTCCACTCAACATCACCCCTTCGCCTCTATTGATGGATGTCCGCGATGATCCCGCTTTGTGTGTGTGTGTGTAATCCATTGATCACCTCCTTTCAGCCCAGATTCCCTGTCGGAGCGATCTCACTGTTATATTGTCTTTGCAGGTCTGTCACTGGGAGCTTTGGTGACTCAGAGGCCGCGGACAGTCACAGCCAGAGAGGGGGAGACAGTGAGTTTGAATTGTCACCAGAAGGACACAGCCTATCAAACAATGCTGTGGTACCTCCAACCCCATCAGGGAGGCCTCACATTGATTGGATACGGTTATGCGTCAAACCCAACGATGGAGGATGCTTACAAACTTGAGTACGAAGTTAAACAGACAGACGATTATAAGAACTGTTCCCTGGAGATCAAGAAGGCAACCCAGGAGGGGGTGTATTACTGCGCTGCGAGAGAAGGGCACAGCGTGAGAGAGAGACAGATCTCTCGTACATAAACCTCACACAGGATACACAACGACTCGATTCTATACACACACACACCAGCCCCTCCCGCGCCAACACCTGCCCTCAGTCTCTGCAGAAATAAAACCCATCAACACAGACGATTGAGAGACAGAGAGAAATCGAGGTTCAGGGCCGGAGTAGCCACGGCTCCATGTCGCCCACTCTCCACACTGTTCCCTCTGTGTCTCTGAATCTGGGACCAATTTAGTGATCTCGTGTTCCTGACCAATACCCCGGGGGAGGCTGTAACTTCACTAAAAGGCTTCCCTTTCCCCACATCTCAAACCTCCCACCAATGTCCCACTGGTGGGTGGGGCACGAGACCGATGTAGAATCACAGAATTATACAGCGCAGATGGAGGCCATTCAGCTCATTGTGTCTGTGCCGGTCTTTGAAAAGAGCTTCCAATTCAACCCCACTCCCCCCTCTCACCCCATAACCTGCAAACTTGTCCTCCACAAATAGGTATCTACTTGTCTCATAAAAGCTGTTATCGAATGGGTTTCCACCAGCCTTTCAGGCAACGCATTACAGATGCATCTGTGTCCCTATCTCTGAATTTGGAACCAATTTTGGGACCCGCTGTACCCAGTTCATACCCTGGGGTAGGCTGTAGCTTCACTAAGACACCTCCCCTCCTCCCCAGCTCCACCTCCCATCACTGGGGGGAGGTGAGGTCCACTTCCGATGTGGTACAGACTTTATTCTGCCAGAGCTTCATTCCAGAGACATAGAGAGAGGGAGAGACAGAGAGACACAGATAGAGAGAGGAACCTGTGCTCTGGTGTGAGGTTCCCAAAGTTAATCCAAGTCTCTGCCAACAATGAGTCTGTCCTTTCTCACTGTCTCTCTGATCTCCAACCTCTGGCCCTGTGAGTATCTCTCAACATCTCTCAATTCCCCTCAGGCTCCCAAATACACTGGGATTTCATATCATCCTCCCCTCTCTATGTCTGAGAAGATCCGGCTCTGTGTATGTGTGTGTATGTGTATGTGTGAGTGTGTGCGCCCGTATGTGTATGTAATTCCGGGGATCAGACCAGGACATTCCCTGTGGGCAGGATGATGGATGTTATATTGTCTTTGCAGGTCTGTCACTGGGAGCTTTGGTGACTCAGGAGCCCCGGACAGTCACAGCCAGAGAGGGGGAGACAGTGACTTTGAGATGTTCCCAGCATGACAGTGCCCTTAATACAATGCTCTGGTACGTCCAACCCCATCAGGGAGGCCTCACATTGATCGGATATAACCGAGCCTCAACCACCTATGAGGACAAGTTTAAATCCGGCTACAACATTACCAAGACACCTGACAGAATGAACTCCACCCTGGAGATCTCCAACATCAACCCAACCCAGGAGGGGGTGTATTACTGCGCTGCGAGAGAAGGGCACAGCGTGAGAGAGAGACAGATCTCTCGTACATAAACCTCACACAGGATACACAACCACTCGATTCTATACACACACACCAGCCCCTCCCGCGCCAACACCTGCCCTCAGTCTCTGCAGAAATAAAATCCATCAACACAGACGATTGAGAGACAGAGAGAAATAGAGGTTCAGGGCCGGAGTAGCCACGGCTCCATGTCGCCCACTCTCCACACTGTTCCCTCTACGTCTCCGAGCCAACGACTAATTTTATGAGCAACTGTTCCCAGGCCATACTTTGGTGGAGGCTGTAGCTTCACTAAGACAAACCCACTCCCCCACATCTCCTCTCCAACCAATGTCCCACAAGGTGGGTGGGGGGTGGGTGGGGGGAGAGGCCACTTCCGATTTGGTGCCGACACTTTGGTGTCATTGGAGCTTTCCTTATCCAGAGCTTCATTCCACAGAGATAGAGTGAGAGAGACAATGTTTAGGATTGAGGTGGCGAGTTATTGGGAAAGTTAACCCAAAAGTGAGAGTGTGAATGTTAAAGAGTGAGTGTATGTGAGAGAGAGAGAGGAACCTGAGCTCTGGTGTGAGGTTCCCAATGTTAATCCAAGTCTCTGCCAACAATGAGTCTGTCCTTTCTCACTGTCTCTCTGATCTCCATCCTCTGGCCCTGTGAGTATCTCTCAACATCTCTCTCATCCCCGTAAACTCTCAAATCCACAAGGAATTCATATCACATCCTCTCTCTGTCCGCGATGATCGCGCTTTGTGTGTGTGCGTAATCCATTGAACACCCCCCAGGACATTCAGCCCAGATTCCGTGTCGGCGGATCTCACTGTTATATTGTCTTTGCAGGTCTGTCACTGGGAGCTTTTGTGACTCAGAGGCCGCGGACAGTCACAGCCAGAGAGGGGGAGACAGTGACTTTGAGATGTTACCAGAATAACACTAAATATGAAACAATGCTCTGGTACCTCCAACCCGATCAGGGAGGCCTCACATTGATCGGATATGCTGTTCTGTCAAACCCAACGTATGAGAAAGGCTTTGAATCTGGTTACAACATTACACAGAGTAATGACAAGAAGAAATCATCCCTGGAAATCTCCAGCATGAACCCAACCCAGGAGGGGGTGTATTACTGCGCTGCGAGAGAAGGGCACAGCGTGAGAGAGAGACAGATCTCTCGTACATAAACCTCACACAGGATACACGACTCGATTCTATACACACACACACCAGCCCCTCCCCCGCCAACACCTGCCCTCAGTCTCTGCAGAAATAAAACCCATCAACACAGACGATTGCGAGACAGAGAGAAATCGAGGTTCAGGGCCGGAGTAGCCACGGCTCCATGTCGCCCACTCTCCACACTGTTCCCTCTGTGTCTCTGAATCTGGGACCAATTTAGTGATCTCGTGTTCCTGACCAATACCCCGGGGGAGGCTGTAACTTCACTAAAAGGCTTCCCTTTCCCCTCATCTCAAACCTCCCACCAATGCCTCACTTTCAGGCAACGCATTACAGATGCATCTGTGTCTCTATCTCTGAATTTGGAACCAATTTTGGGACCCGCTGTACCCAGTTCATACCCCGGGGGAGGCTGTAGCTTCACTAAGACACCTCCCCTCCTCCCCAGCTCCACCTCCCATCACTGGGGGGAGGTGAGGCCCACTTCCGATGTGGTGCAGACTTTACTCTGTCTGAGCTTCATTCCAGAGACATAGAGAGAGGGAGAGACAGAGAGACAGTGACAGAGAGAGGAACCTGAGCTCTGGTGTGAGGTTCCCAATGTTAATCCAAGTCTCTGCCAACAATGAGTCTGTCCTTTCTCACTGTCTCTCTGATCTCCATCCTCTGGCCCTGTGAGTATCTCTCAACATCTCTCTCATCCCCGTAAACTCTCAAATCCACAGGGATTTCATATCACACCCTCGCTCTATCGGTGATGATCGCTTTGTGTTTGTGCGTAATCCATTGAACACCCCCCAGGACATTCAGCCCAGATTCCCTGTCGGAGGGATCTCATTGTTATATTGTCTTTGCAGGTCTGTCACTGGGAGTTTTGGTGACTCAGGGGCCGCGGACAGTCACAGCCACAGAGGGGGAGACAGTGAGTTTTACATGTTATCAGAATGACAGTGCCCTTGATACAATGCTCTGGTACATCCAACCCCACCAGGGAGGCCTCACATTGATCGCATATATCTATATGTCCCCAACGTATGAGAAAGGCTTTGAATCCGGCTACAACATGACAAAGACAACTAATGACAAGGAATCCACCCTGGAGATCTCCAGCTTGAACCCAACCCAGGAGGGGGTGTATTACTGCGCTGCGAGAGAAGGGCACAGCGTGAGAGAGAGACAGATCTCTCGTACATAAACCTCACACAGGATACACAACCACTCGATTCTATACACACACACACACACCAGCCCCTCCCCCGCCAACACCTGCCCTCAGTCTCTGCAGAAATAAAACCCATCAACACAGACGATTGAGAGACAGAGAGAAATCGAGGTTCAGGGCCGGAGTAGCCACGGCTCCATGTCGCCCACTCTCCACACTGTTCCCTCTACGTCTCCGAACCAACGACTAATTTTATGACCAACTGTTCCCAGGCCATACTTTGGGGGAGGCTGTAGCTTCACTAAGACACCCCCACTCCCCCACATCTCCTCTCCAACCAATGTCCCACAAGGTGGGTGGGGGTGGGTGGGGGGAGAGGTCACTTCCGATTTGGTGCCGACACTTTGGTGTCATTGGAGACTTTCCTTTTCCAGAGCTTCATTCCACAGAGATAGAGTGAGAGAGACAATGTTTAGGATTGAGGGGGAGAGTTATTGAGAAAGTTAACCCAAAAGCGAGAGTGTGAATGTTAAAGAGTGAGTGTATGTGAGAGAGAGAGAGGAACCTGAGCTCTGGTGTGAGGTTCCCAATGTTAATCCAAGTCTCTGCCAACAATGTCCTTTCTCACTGTCTCTCTGATCTCCATCCTCTGGCCCTGTGAGTATCTCTCAACATCTCTCTCATCCCCGTAAACTCTCAAATCCACTGGGAATTCATATCACACCCTCTCTCTGTCCGCGATGATCGCGCTTTGTGTGTGTGCGTAATCCATTGAACACCCCCCAGGACATTCAGCCCAGATTCCCTGTCGGCGGATCTCATTGTTATATTGTCTTTGCAGGTCTGTCACTGGGAGCTTTGGTGACTCAGTGGCCGCGGACAGTCACAGCCAGAGAGGGGGAGACAGTGACTTTGAATTGTCACCAGGACGACAGCTCTCTTACTGTGATGCTCTGGTACATCCAACCCCATCAGGGAGGCCTCACATTGATCGGATATAACCAATATTCAACCACATATGAGGACAAGTTTAAATCCGGCTACAACATTACCAAGACACCGGACAGAATGAACTCCACCCTGGAGATCTCCAGCGTGAACCCAACCCAGGAGGGGGTGTATTACTGCGCTGCGAGAGAAGGGCACAGCGTGAGAGAGAGACAGATCTCTCGTACATAAACCTCACACAGGATACACAACCACTCGATTCTATACACACACACACACACCAGCCGCTCCCCCGCCAACACCTGCCCTCAGTCTCTGCAGAAATAAAACCCATCAACACAGACGATTGAGAGACAGAGAGAAATCGAGGTTCAGGGCCGGAGTAGCCACGGCTCCATGTCGCCCACTCTCCACACTGTTCACTCTACGTCTCTGAATCTGGGACCAATTTTGTGATCTCGTGTTCCTGACCAATACCCCGGGGGAGGCTGTAACTTCACTCGGTTAGTTCCTGGGATGAGTGGACTGACCTATGAGGAGAGACTGAATAAACTGGGACTGTATTTTCTGGAGTACAGAAGAATTAGGGGGATCTTATTAAAACATATAAGATTATTAAAGGGCTGATAAAGTAGACACTGAGGGTCTGTTTCCCCGGTGGGAGAATCTATAACCGGGGGTCACAGTCTTAACATTAAGGGTCAGCCTTTTAGAACAGAGTTGAGGAAACATTTCTTCACTCAGAGGGCAGTGACTTTATGGAATCCACTCCCCCAGAAGGCTGTAGATGTCAGTCCTTGAACATCTTCAAGGCTGAGACTGAGAGATGTTTAAAAAATAGAGGGATTAGCGGATATGGGGATAGAGCAGGTAATTAGAGTTAGGTCTGAAGATCAGCTGTGATCTTATCAAATGGCGGTGCAGCTCGAGGGGCCGAATGGCCGACTCCTGCTCCTAATTCTTATGTTCTTATGTTCACTCACAGGCTTCCCTTTCCCCACAAAAGAGCTTCCAATTCAACCCCACTCCCCCGCTCTCTCCCCATAACCTGCAAACTTGTCCTCCCCAAATAGTTATCTACTTCGCCCTTAGAAGCTGTTATCGAATGGGCTTCCACCAGCCTTTCAGGTAATGCATTCCAGATGCATCTCTATCTCTGAATTTGGCACCAATTTTGGGACTCGCTGTACCCAGTTCATACCCTGGGGGAGGCTGTAGCTTCACTAAGACACGTCCCCTCCTCCCCAGCTCCACCTCCCATCACTGGGGGGAGGTGAGGCCCACTTCCGATGTGGTGCTGACTTTACTCTGTCAGAGCTTCATTCCAGAGACATAGAGAGAGGGAGAGACAGAGAGACAGTGACAGAGAGAGGAACCTGAGCTCTGGTGTGAGGTTCCCAATGTTAATCCAAGTCTCTGCCAACAATGAGTCTGTCCTTTCTCACTGTCTCTCTGATCTCCATCCTTTGGCCCTGTGAGTATCTCTCAACATCTCTCTCATCCCCATAAACTCTCAAATCCACAGGGAATTCATATCACACCCTCTCTCTGTCCGCGATGATCGCACTTTGTGTGTGTGCGTAATCCATTGAACACCCCCCAGGACATTCAGCCCAGATTCCCTGTCGGCGGATCTCATTGTTATATTGTCTTTGCAGGTCTGTCACTGGGAGCTTTGGTGACTCAGAGGCCGCGGACAGTCACAGCCAGAGAGGGGGAGACAGTGACTTTGAGATGTAGCCACAACGACAAATCCCTTGATACGATGCTTTGGTACATCCAACCCCATCAGGGAGGCCTCACATTGATTGGATATAATGAATACTCAACCGTATATGAGGATAGGTTTAAATCCGGCTACAACATTACCAAAACACCCAACAACATGAACTCCACCCTGGAGATCACCAACATCAACCCAACCCAGGAGGGGGTGTATTACTGCGCTGCGAGAGAAGGGCACAGCGTGAGAGAGAGACAGATCTCTCGTACATAAACCTCACACAGGATACACAACGACTCGATTCTATACACACACACACACACCAGCCCCTCCCCCGCCAACACCTGCCCTCAGTCTCTGCAGAAATAAAACCCATCAACACAGACGATTAATAGACAGAGAGAAATCGAGGTTCAGGGCCGGAGTAGCCACGGCTCCATGTCGCCCACTCTCCACACTGTTCCCTCTGTGTCTCTGTCTCTGAATCTGGGACCAATTTTGTGATCTCGTGTTCCTGCCCAATACCCCGGGGGAGGCTGTAACTTCACTGAAAGTCTTCCCTTTCCCCACAACTCAAACCTCCCACCAATGCCCCACTGTTGGGTGGGGCACGAGAGCCACTTCCAATGTAGAATGATAGAATTATACAGCGCAGATGGAGGCCATTCGCCTCATCGTGTCTGTGTCGGTCTTTGAAAAGAGCTTCCAATTCAACCCCACTCCCCCACTCTCTCCCCATAACCAGCAAACTTGTCCTCCCCAAATAGGTATCTACTTGTCTCATAAAAGCTGTTATCGAATGGGCTTCCACCAGCCTTTCAGGCAACGCATTACAGATGCATCTGTGTCCCTATCTCTGAATTTGGAACCAATTTTGGGACCCGCTGTACCCAGTTCATACCCCGGGGGAGGTTGTAGCTACACTAAGACACGTCCCCTCCTCCCCAGCTCCACCTCCCATCACTGGGGGGAGGTGTGGCCCACTTCCGATGTGGTGCAGATTTTACTCTGTCAGAGCTTCATTCCAGAGACATAGAGAGAGGGAGAGACAGAGAGACACAAACAGAGAGAGGAACCTGAGCTCTGGTGTGAGGATCCCAATGTTAATCCAAGTCTCTGCCAACAATGAGTCTGTCCTTTCTCACTGTCTCTCTGATCTCCATCCTCTGGCACTGTGAGTATCTCTCAACATCTCTCTCATCCCCGTAAACTCTCAAATCCACAGGGATTTCATATCACACCTCTCTCTGTACGCGATGATCGCGCATTGTGTGTGTGCGTAATCCATTGAACACCCCCAGGACATTCAGCCCAGATTCCCTGTCGGCGGATCTCATTGTTATATTGTCTTTGCAGGTCTGTCACTGGGAGCTTTGGTGACTCAGTTGCCGCGGACAGTCACAGCCAGAGAGGGGGAGACAGTGACTTTGAGATGTTACCAGAAGGACAGTGCCCTTAATACAATGCTGTGGTACCTCCAACCCCATCAGGGAGGCCTCACATTGATTGGATACGGTTATGCGTCAAACCCAACGATGGAGGATGCTTACAAACTTGACTACGAAGTTAAACAGACAGACGACTATAAGAACTGTTCCCTGGAGATCAAGAAGGCAACCCAGGAGGGGGTGTATTACTGCGCTGCGAGAGAAGGGCACAGCGTGAGAGAGAGACAGATCTCTCGTACATAAACCTCACACAGGATACACAACGACTCGATTCTATACACACACACACCAGCCCCTCCCGCGCCAACACCTGCCCTCAGTCTCTGCAGAAATAAAACCCATCAACACAGACGATTGAGAGACAGAGAGAAATCGAGGTTCAGGGCCGGAGTAGCCACGGCTCCATGTCGCCCACTCTCCACACTGTTCCCTCTGTGCCTCTGTCTCTGAATCTGGGACCAATTTTGTGATCTCGTGTTCCTGACCAATACCCCGGGGGAGGCTGTAACTTCACTAAAAGGCTTCCCTTTCCCCACATCTCAAACCTCCCACCAATGCCCCACTGGTGGGTGGGGCACGAGACCGATGTAGAATCACAGAATTATACAGCGCAGATGGAGGCCATTCGGCTCATTGTGTCTGTGCCGGTCTTTGAAAAGAGCTTCCAATTCAACCCCACTCCCCCGCTCTCTCCCCATAACCTGCAAACTTGTCCTCCACAAATAGGTATCTACTTGTCTCATAAAAGCTGTTATCGAATGGGCTTCCACCAGCCTTTCAGGCAACGCATTACAGATGCATCTGTGTCCCTATCTCTGAATTTGGAACCAATTTTGGGACCCGCTGTACCCAGTTCATACCCTGGGGGAGGCTGTAGCTACACTAAGACACCTCCCCTCGTCCCCAGCTCCACCTCCCATCACAGTGGGGAGGTGAGGTCCACTTCCGATGTGGTACAGACTTTACTCTGCCAGAGCTTCATTCCAGAGACATAGAGAGAGGGAGAGACAGAGAGACACAGATAGAGAGAGGAACCTGTGCTCTGGTGTGAGGTTCCCAAAGTTAATCCAAGTCTCTGCCAACAATGAGTCTGTCCTTTCTCACTGTCTCTCTGATCTCCATCCTATGGCCCTGTGAGTATCTCTCAACATCTCTCAATTCCCCTCAGGCTCCCAAATACACTGGGATTTCATATCATCCTCCCCTCTCTATGTCTGAGAAGATCCGGCTCTGTGTATGTGTGTATGTGTATGTGTGAGGGTGTGCGCCCGTATGTGTATGTAATTCCGGGAATCAGACCAGAACATTCCCTGTGGTCAGGATGACGGATGTTATATTGTCTTTGCACGTCAGTCACTGGGAGCTTTGGTACTCAGGAGCCGCGGACAGTCACAGCCAGAGAGGGGGAGACAGTGACTTTGAGATGTAGCCACAACGACAAATCCCTTAACATGATGCTTTGGTACATCCAACCCCATCAGGGAGGCCTCACATTGATCGGATATAACCAAGCCTCAACCACCTATGAGGACAAGTTTAAATCCGGCTACAACATTACCAAGACACCAGACAGAATGAACTCCACCCTGGAGATCTCCAACATCAACCCAACCCAGGAGGGGGTGTATTACTGCGCTGCGAGAGAAGGACACAGCGTGAGAGAGAGACAGATCTCTCGTACATAAACCTCACACAGGATACACAACGACTCGATTCTATACACACACACACCAACCCCTCCCCCGCCAACACCTGCCCTCAGTCTCTGCAGAAATAAAACCCATCAACACAGACGATTGAGAGACAGAGAGAAATAGAGGTTCAGGGCCGGAGTAGCCACGGGTCCATGTCGCCCACTCTCCACACTGTTCCCTCTACGTCTCCGAGCCAACGACTAATTTTATGAGCAACTGTTCCCAGGCCATACTTTGGTGGAGGCTGTAGCTTCACTAAGACAAACCCACTCCCCCACATCTCCTCTCCAACCAATGTCCCACAAGGTGGGTGGGGGTGGGTGGGGGAGAGGCCACTTCCGATTTGGTGCCGACACTTTGGTGTCATTGGAGCTTTCCTTATC